GGGGGGGGGGGGGGGGGGCGGTAGGCTGAGACACGCCCATTTTGCAGACTGGAAAACAGAAAACCTAGGCCAGCCGAGGCGCAGGAGAGTCAGGCTCGGGGAGGCGCTCCGGCCCGAGGCCAGGGGACACTCAGGGAAACTCCCTCTCCACCTGCCCCTGGCTCACAGGCCAGGCCAGAGGCCCCCCCCACTTCCCCATCATGTCTTCCGAGGAAGCCCCAGGCCGGTGAAGCAGGGCCAGCCGGGCCCCACGCCCCCCAGCCAGTCTCCCCACTTCCCGGGGCAGCCTACCTCTGAGACGGGGAGTTGGGAGCCACCTCTTGCACGTAGATCCCGCGGCTGACCTCCGGGAAGTCCGGGTTGTTGGCCTTTAGCTCCTCCACCAAACTGCAAGCACAGTCCCGCTGTGAGGCTCCCCCAGTCTGAGCCTCCCCTCACGCCCGGCCGGCGGGCCTCTGCTGGGCCACACCGCCCCTCCTGCCACCACCGCTCGGCCGGCCACTGGCTCTTGTCCGTGTCCCCACTCACTCCACACGGCGCCTCAAGAGAAGCCCCAGGGAAGGGGGGTGATTAGAAGTGTGGAGAGAGGGGGGTGGTGGATAGAGGGGGGAGAGGGAGGAGAGGAAGGAAGGAAGGAAGGAAGGAAGGAAGGAAGGAAGGAAGGACGGACAATGGGTGAATGGCGGAATAGACAGAAGACTAGGCAGGTGGTGTCATGGACGGATAGATGGATGAAAAATGGAGGGATAGCCTGGCTGGTGTGGCTCAGGGGTTGAGCATCGACCTATGAACCAGGAGGTCACAGTTTGATTCCTGGTCAGGGCATATGCCCAGGTTGTGGGCTCGATTCCCAGTAGGGGGCGTGCAGGAGGCAGCTGATCCATGATTCTCATCATTGATTCTTCTATCTCTCTCTCCTTTCCTCTTCCTCTCTGAAATCAGTAAAAGTCTATTAAAAAAAAGATGGAGGGATAGATGAACAGAGGCAGGAAGGAGGAACGTGCACATGGGTGGCTGGAAGGAGGGATGGATGTGGCCATGGCATGGCGAGGCAGAGGACGGACGCGTGGTGCGATGGGGGTGGTGCAGGGAAGAGGAGGAGCACACGTAACAGGAAAATTGGTCTTGATTACGAGCTGCCCTCGGACTTGGGCCCTGGACGCACAGCTGCGGACGCAGGAAGATAGTCCCGAGGGGCCGTGGGGTGGGGGGGTGCAGGCGGCAGAACAGGCTTCGCTCTCCCCAGAGCCCGCCTCAGTGACCTTCTTCTCCAACCCTCCCCCCCTCCCTGGCTCCCTTCCTTCCCGTCTCCCCCCACCCCTCTCCCTCCTTCATCTTGCTCACTGGGTGCCGGGAGCCGGTCCATCCTTGCTGTTTCAAGGGACCTGGCATATATGGCATACTGTTCTTAATGTTTGCTCACCTTCTTGGCACTGTGTTTTAACCAAGGTCACCTCTCTGAGAAAGGTTGTTTCCCCAGGTGGGGTTTTTCACCTGAAGTTAGGGAGGGAATAAAACCCCTTAACTAAGTGCCAGGCGGGTAGTTAATCACTTTAACTACGAACAATCATGCTTAAGCTACATAATCTTCCCTCCCTGGAATGGAGATAAGAAACGCCCTAACCGAACCCGGCTACAGAACCCGGCCACAGAACCCGGCGACCGAACCTGGCCGGAGAACCTAAACTGAACCTGGCTGGAGAACCTAGCGAGAGAACATGGCTACAGAACCTGGCTGGAGAACCTGGAGAACCTGGCTGGAGAACCTAGCAAGAGAACATGGACACAGACCCTGGCTGGAGATCCTAACCAGAACTTGGCTGGAGATCCTGGCTAGGCTGCTGATCAACTGAACGCTGCCTCTGAGTCTTTCCTTCTTCGCCGACTCCGTCCATACTTTTGGGAACCCCTGGACCTGCTGGGGTTGGACCCCAGCAACTGGGCATCCCCAGGCACCCACTGGGCTGCAGACCCATCCTGGGGCAGGGCAGAGGGATGAGCGGACACAGCCCTCACCCCCAAGGAGCTCACCCCCAGGGAGGGGGGGCACAAATGGGCTGTTCCAACAGCATGGACCACGCCATCGAGGAGGGAAGCCGGCCATGCGCCTGCGAGGAGGAGCCTCCCCCACGCCTTCCACCTGTGGAGGGCACCGTCTCCCTGAAGTTCACAGGCACCCACAGCCCTGCCTGGGACTCGGTGGGTGCGACTGGCTGAGGAGCTCCAGATGAGAGGTTCCTGACTAGGGTGGGCCCTGACGGGCGCTGGTGCTTTTGTGAGAGAAGGAAGGCATTTGGAAACAGACGCACAGGAGAGGAGACAGCCATGGACATCAGAGACGGGGATCGAAGGGACGCGGCTACACCCCAAGGACACTAAGAGCCGCCGAGCCTGCAGGGAACACGGGCCTGCCCACACCTTGAGTGTGGACTTCCGGCTCTCAGGACGGAGAGAAAATGGACGTCCTGTCAGTTTTAGCCAAGCGTGTGGGACTCTGCTACGGCAGCCACCAGAGCCTAAACCCGGAGGCTTCCTGGAGGAGGGGCACCGAGGGAAGTCTGAGGGAGTCTCTCAGGCAAAGGGGAGAAGCCGCTGCAGGCAGAGGGCCTGGCCTGAGGATGCCCAGCGCCTGAGCGGTGGGCCCCGGGGCACCTGCAGGTGGCCCGCCTGACCTGCCCGGGGCTGGGACCACTAGGGACGCAGCAGGGGGAGCATCGCCAGGACACTCACCTGGGAGTGATGGTCCTCATCCGAATGCCGATGAAGCGCTTCTTCCAGTCTGAAACAGGTGGGCTCCGTTAGACCCTCAGGAGGAGGGGGCCAGTGGGCAGAAGCCGCCACAGGAGCAGCGGGGCTGTGCCATCCTGCCCGCCAGCCCCGCCCCGTGCCCCCCGCTCCTCTGAGCTACTCCTGAGGCTGGGAGCAGTCCGGGCCATCTGGTGGCCTCACGCCCCTGCACCTGCAGGCACCATGCCCCCCACCAGCGGATCATCAGGTGCCGGGTCTCTCAAGGTGGACACACAGCAGCAGTCCTATTGTGGTTCTAGTGACCGTCAGGAATTGGAATCTGAAAGAATGTACCTCCGATGAGAGCCGCAAACACGTGAAGGATCTAGGACTCAAACTGACGAACGCTGGGTAAGGCCCGCACGTGGAGAACTAGATACCATGGCCAGAGAAGCCATGGGGCCAGTCTGTGTTCACGGGGCGGACGATGCAGTGTTGCCACAATGACAGCCCTCCCCAAACCGACTAGAGAGTCAACGAACCCATCAAACCCCCAACAGTCGCCCCCCAGCCCCCTCTGTGAAGTGCAGCTCCAGGGAGGTGGCCCAGGCCAAAGGCTCCCCGGGAGCAGGAGACAACGGCTCAGAAAAGGCTCCACCAGCAGAGAAAGA